TTCTCTGGTATTTTAGATAATAGCCACCATGTACTGGGGGCTTCCTATATGCAGATAAATTCTTTGCATTCACTCTGCCACTTAATCCTTCTGAGAGCCCCGTACGTTTGGCTATTATTATCTTTTTTATAAGTAAGGAAACTGAGTTGTAGGCAGGTTTAGGAACATGCCCAAGTTCACATCACAGCAGTGCCAGAGTCAGCACTTGAATCCAGATCTGACTCCATACAGAATTTGCTGCTGAAGATCACGTTTTCCAACATTTGCCTTTATCAGATCTGCATGCAAGCACTTAGAGCACATTTCAGCTCGGGGTTTCTTTCCTTTGTCTTTCAGGCACAGGCCGATGGGGGAGGGGAATTGGTCCTTCTGGGATTGCAGCTATTTTATGTTTGGGCTGGGAATGCAATTGACCCTTTCCCATTCACTTCCTGTGGATCAATGTCAGAAGGCTGAGCTAGATCCTGTGTGTGTGCCTGGGAGCCTCCACACTGCTTTTAGGAACTGACATTCTTTTGTTGTTGCTTTTAGCATCCACTCAAAGCTGAGCTCAGGGTAATGGCCGAGGGGCGAGAGCTGATCCTGGACCTGGAGAAGAATGAGTAAGTGGAGTCCTCCTTTGTCTAAAATGAAACAATTCACTTCCATGTCAATGCCGGACACAGGTGCTGCTGTTTTGGAAGGATTGGAAGGAAGCGGTTAGCGAAGTGACCCAGGCTCTCAATCTGTGGTTTCTTTGTGCAGATCCTCTCGCAAAGACAGTATTTCCACAATCTCTTGACTTGCTGTGAAATTGCTAGACTGTTTAATGGGCTGTATTTCCCGGGTTGCTTCTTAGAGTTCACTGTGTTGCTTCTTAGAGTTCACTGTGTGTGTGTGTGTGTGTGTGTGTGTGTGTGTGATGAGGGAGGGATGGTCTGGAGGACTCCAGCAGCTGTCTCACTAGCTGCAGCACAGGGCATGGCAGGAAGTGAAGGAGATTAGAGGAGAACAGAGAGGAGAGAGGCAAAGCAGAGTGCTCTGGGATTTGCACCTTCAACCCTGGCTGCTCTATCTGGCTGTTCGGGGTCGGCTAAATCCGAGATTCTGCCAGTAGGGGCATGGTCAGCAGTCTCCTGGCTTCTTTGGGCTGCTTCTTCCATCTTTCTAACCGCATTCATCTTGGGTGGTGGCCTGAGTCAGAAATATTTCCACATTGATTTGCCATCAAGCACAGTTACATCTTGATTCATGTTATGGAGCAGGTGAATAGATCATGCATAGCCCTGCCTGTTGCCTGTTCTTGGGCCATTCCCAATCTGCTTGGCCGCTGGAGAGCTCTCCTTCATTGGCCCGGAGACCACGGAGGCCTTTGGTCTTTCCCCGCCAACGGTCCCCCTTGGATGCTGCCACACAGACCTTGCAGATAAGGCCGCCGGGCTCGGACAACTGCCCATCTCCTCTTGGCAGCCACCCCGGAAGCAGATGAGTAATCAAACGCGTTACTGCCAAGAAAGGGATGGATGGGGCCTTCCCATAACCAGAAGGATGGGAAGGCTGCTGAGCTTGGGTGGAAAGCGAAAACATAAGTTATTCCAAATTTGGGCTTTTGGTCCCTTGCAAAAGGAGGGTGGGTGGAGTTATAAGTATGGCAGAAGTGAGACTCGAGCACGCGCAGTAATGCGCTTCGTCCACGCCTTTCCTCTGCCTACAGAACGTTAGACATCTCAGTCATTTTTGCTTGACTGAGAATATGTTCTAGACCTGTGGACGGCAAACTGCGGCTCGCAAGCCACATGGGGCTCTTTGGCCCCTTGAGTGTGGCTCTTCCACAAAATACCACGTGCGGGCGTGCACGTAGAGTGCGATTGAAGCTTCGTGGCCCATGCGCAGAAGTTGGTATTTTGTGGAAGAGCCACACTCAAGGGGCCAAAGAGCTGCAGTTTGCCGACCACTGTTCTAGGCTATGAACTAGAATGTGTTCTTTTTGTCCCATTTCCCTGGAACAGACCTGGCTGCCTCTGTCCCCGAGGGTGCCAGCTCTGCATGCCTGGGATTTCTCCTTGCATAGTCTTCCCTTTGTCCTGCAGGAAAAGGCCATTAGAGGGTCTGTTCTTGACAGTCTCAGGGCTCTGCTTCACTTTCTCATGGTCCCAGCCCTCTAGCTCTGGGCTAAATGCTCCCTGTTGCCACTCAGTCTAATCTACTCCATTCTGCCCCCAACTGGAGTATTTGACCCTCCAGCTTCCTCTGGGCAGTCCGAGTGGTGGGGTTGCTGTCATGGGCAAATCCTTAGGAGTTGGACTTGCCAAGCAGGGATCCCAGCACTCGTCCTTCCCTCCTGTTTTGGAGCCTTTGTAAGAGGTCATAGGAAGTTGTAGTGGGAAGACACTTTAAAAAATACTGAGTGCAACAGTCTTATGTGTGGATGTAGAAACTTCAACTCAGAGAGGGGTAGACACTTATCTAAGGCCACACAGCAGGTAAGCGAGAGAGGTGAGAGTAGGATCCTTTGTGTTCTTGGCTAGGATCTGAAATTAAGGAGAGTGCGTGGATGTGGTTCTATTGTGTATTGCTCTGAGCAGCTCTCTGGCTTCCCAGTGAGCGGCAGGGGCCTGGATGTGGTTCCTGGGCTCCTTGAGTTGGCAGGAGGCAGGAGACTTGACAAAAATGGAAATGGCAGCGTCAAGCACTATGACCTCATCAGGTATCCCTGGGGGACAGCTTCCTGCTATTTTCATCTAAACTGGGCTTTTTGTTTTTGAACATGTGTTAGTAAGCGGAACTCCAACTGCACACGACTTCCTATTGTGTTTATTTCCCAAAGCCGCCTCATTCATGGTGCGTGCGAGGCCAGATGCAAAACAGCTTGGGGGTGGGGATGATGCTTTTCTGATTTTTCAAATCTCTCTGTTAAAGTTTTTATAATCCTATGATATTTGAGGGGAAACTGGACCCTGTGCTAAGCGACTTCTTAGTCTGTTTTTTAAGTTCCTCAATTGATTCATTCTTCTTTTTTTTTTTTTTTCATCTCCTATGCATCCATAGCAGTGCAGGCACCAGTGTCAGTACTGGGGATATAGCTGTGAATAAAACAGTTTGGCCCTTATGGGGCTTGTAGTCTGCTGGTGAGAACAGTAAGCAGATAAACAAGTGAATGTGTAGTATGTCTGGTGACAAGTGCTATGGAAACAAAGGAACATACGGGCTCAGAGAGCAGGGATGGGGAGGGAGAAGGGCTTGGTGGTGAATTGGTATTTAAGTCAAGACCTGAAGGAGATGAGAAAATGAGCCATGTGGATGGCTAGGGGTGGCTCAGGGGTCCTCAAACTACGGCCCATGGGCCACATGCAAATACAGATATTGTATTTGTTCCCATTTTGTTTTTTTACTTCAAAATAAGATATGTGCAGTGTGCATAGGAATTTGTTCATAGTTTTTTTTTAAACTATAGTCTGGCCCTCCAACGATCTGAGGGACAGTGAACTGGCCCCCTGTATAAAAAGTTTGAGGACCCCTGGATGGCTATACTAAGGAGAAGGGACAGCCAAGTTCAAAGGCCCTAATAGATTATGAAGGTTTCTTCTCTCCCTTCCCAACCGCTATACATTTCCCCCTACATTGGATTCTTGGGCGCCCCGGGGAGCTGTGGGCAAGAGCTTCTGGCACTCTGAGGGGAGAGGAGACATTTCTAATGTCTTTTTCATCATCCTGAGGTGTCTGGACTTCTCCCATCAAATCAAAGCCCACGTGCTAATGCATGGCCCAAAATAGCAATGAGCAGGCCTTTAATGGAATTCGCACATGGAGAGATTGCCAAGAATGGTGAGGATGGAGGAGCATGGGGGATGGGCCAGGAGAGAGGGAGGGGCCTTTAGCTCAGGCAGCAGATACCCAAGGTGCTATAGTTCAATAGCATGGCAGCTGGCAGTGATTTTCTGCTGTGAAGCAACTCAGAATAAACAATGATGTTTATCTACTCAGTGCACAAGCATCGCAGAGATAATCTGCATTTGGCTTTCCTGTCAGATAGTCCTGGGTTCAGGTCCCAGCTCTCCCACCTCCTGGCTGGATGTCCTCTCTAAACCTCAGTTTCCCTATCTGGAGTATTATGAAAGTCATACGCTCTAGAGCCATGAAGATGAAATGAGATGGTTCATGTGAAGGGCCGAGCGTAGTGCCTTGCTCATATTATATACGCAGTAAATGGCAGCTACTGTGATTTCTCACGAGTGTCTTATTTTTTTTCTCACTCGTGTCTTTTTTCATTGCAACATGCTCATTGTAAAACATTTAGCAATACCCAAGTATAATAAGTAAAAGAATGAAAGTCTCCTATCCACAAGAAGAATCCACTGTTAACAATTTTGGTGAGCATACCTTGGACCTTTTCTATGCGTGTGGGAATCTGCACATAGACACAGTCGCACAGAAGCACACTCACACAGGCTGTTGTTTTTGTTGGGAAGGGAGGAGCAGAAATGAGATGATACTATACATATTGGTCCACGCCTGTTTTTTTTTTAGACTCAACCATATGTCATGAAGGTAGTACACTGCTCTAATGGAGTATATATTACATTGTTTTATATTTATTCACACATATACATGTAATTTGCAAATATTGGTGCATAGCTGTTGTTATGAGACCCTTACTTGTGGTTAGGGCAGTGTGATACAGTACTGAGCTCTGAGGCAGACACGTGGAATTGGTCAAGAAGCCATCTGGCCCTCCTGAGCCTCAAATTTCTCGTCTTTCAAATGGGGGTTTTGTCCCAGTTGGGTTTTAAGAGTTACTACTGTTCCACCTATTTAAAGGATACCATGCAAGTGGAAAAATGGACAAGAAGCATAGAGTTTGCTCTCCGTTCATGGAGACATCCCTGGAAAGGGGGGACAGGGGGATAAAGGAACATCGCCTCCAAACCATGGGCCTTGAAGTTGAGGATGAACTACTAGTTTAGGCAACATAAACACGAGAAGGGAAATTACAGAGAAGAAATTATGGTGCTGTTTCCACAGGCCACAGTTGGGAGGCATGCATCCATAATGTTTTTTCTCCATGTAATTTTCCCTATGCTCTGAGGACTGGCTCATCAGCCCAGAGACCAGAATGCACATAAAACAACAACAACAAAAACTTGTTTGTTGACATGAAATGGAACCTTGCTGAGCTGTCGGCATCTGGGGAGAGGCACACCTCAGGGAGTATAGGCCTTGTCTTTCTTCCCTTCTCCTTTCTTCACTTTTTCCCAAGAGGAGGGCACAATGAACTCTTGAACCAGCTTGCAGGATGCTCATTGGGCTGCATTACTAGAGGCCAGGGTCACTACATTAACTACATTGGAAGGTCACCTTCAAAGGCAAATGAACAGCTCAACTAGTGGGCACTGAGCCCAGAGGACCTCTCTCCATATGCTTCTCTCTGCTTGTCTCTTACACACATTCTGGAGCTCTCATCTCTTCGCTCTACTGCCCTCCCTTAGAGTCCAAATGATGATAAGATTTGGGTTTTGGCTTGGAAAAGGGACAGCTATCCTTTGGTCTCACCCCATTCATGGTGCTTCAGGCCTGGCTAAAGACAGATCCTGTTTGCATCAGTCTCGCTAGTAAGAATGGGTAT